TACTGATAAGCTCTTAACTTCTGTTGATAGCTCTGGCTTAAGAGGTCCAGACCTTCATGCAAAATATAGATGGAGGAGAATGAGAATTGGGTAGCAGAGAACATGACATGCATAGTATAAGACTGTGTTCTTTGAATATTTGAAAGTATGTTGGAATGTGCATGGAAATCTTTCATGTTGTTTAATGTGAATTTTCAAACTTTACTTTTAAATGGAATGCTTCATGAAGGAAAACTATGAGAGCTATGCGTGGGGATGGGAAAGAAAAACTTGGAGAGAGTGAGGGAAGGGGTGACATTGTTAAAAAAAGATTATGTAACTGTAATCCCTGTGGTATATTACCTTTAGGAAAACAATTTAAATTTTTTAGAAGAAACTTATTGCTCGATTCTTTCTCTTCTTCATTTGGAAGGAAACCTATAGCTGGACAGGAAATAAAATATACAGTCCCTTTGCAGTGTATACTTTGTGTCTTTCAGTACTATAAGGGTATGTGTTGTGTTGCAAGTAAAAAAGAAATTTCTATGAGAGGCCACATGCAGTGTTTCATGCCTATGATCCCAGCTACTCAGGAGGCAGAGGCAGAGTTTGAGGCCAGTCTAGGCGTTCTCCATATCCCATGACAACTAGTAAAAATTGAGCGTAGTGTGTACTAGACATTCTAGCTATAGCAGAAGTGTAAAAAGAGGATTGTGGCCCAGGCAAGCTGGATGAAACCGAAGATCCTATTCTAAAAATAAAGCAAAAGGGGCTGGAGATATATTTCATGTAGTAGAGCACCTGTGTACCTGTACTCTAGTACTGCCCCCCACCAAAACAAAAGGGGAAAAAAAAGAACCACTATTTGGATAGCTCTTGATGTGAAGAAATAATGTTGACTCAAATGCACTCAGTCTTAACTTCTCAATAGAATTTAAGAGCAGGACAAAACCCCTAGTTGCTTGACCATTTCCATCAGGACAGTTAAAGAGAAGTTCTCTTCCTCTGGCTATACTCCCGCCCACTGCCACCCACGAAGAAAGCTTGAGAGTAGTATTGACAGAAAACAGGCCAGGCAAACAAGACACAATTTCCATGGGCATTTTCACCCAGCAATTAGTTGCACTCACAATTTCTACAGCTTCATTTAATTGCAAGCACAAAAGGGATAGACCAAAGCTGAACACACCAACCCCTTTATCCTATGACCTCATTCTTTTTTCTAGCCACCTACTTCCCTGAACAATCATTCACTTTAGTGACCACACCCTAGCACAACAATTTATCAAAGCAACACACCCCTCCACCCTCCAGGCCCCCTCACTAGCCCAGAAAATCATAACATAGTCCAGGAGCAATCCACCTTCTTTGAAACCACCAAAGACAAAGGAAAATAATCATGTAAACAAACGTAACCCTAGCCGAGCAATTATTCAGAGCAAAGGCCATTTATAAATGTACATTTTCCCCTGGGCTGTTCTGGAGAGTTAGATTTGGTTGCTTGTTTCAAATTCAAAACATGGCAAAGTTTATAGCATGTATATTAAAAGATCAGGATATTATTGAATAAATAATATTAAATAATTTATTCAATAAGTATTGGTAGCAACAATGCAAAATAACCTTTTCAAATTCAATCTCCATAGGCTTGGGTCATCTACAAGCCTGGCCCAGTAAGTTGTTTATCCTCAGACTGAACTCTCTCTTAACAAGCAAATGACATTTGTCTAGAAAATCCACAGTGTTTCCTACAAAATAGACTGCTATTAAGCATGTTTCAGTAAATGATTGGAATTAAAAATATTTTATTTTGACCTTTTTTTTGTCTTTTTCAAAACAGTTCCTCTATATTTATGAAAACTATCCTGACCTTCACAAATCTAAATGAATGGAAGGACAAAATGTAACTCTTGAGTATTTCTGTCAGTGCAGCTCATCAAAATCAGTATTGCACTGTGAGTTAATGACAGTAGGTTATTATTTAAGTATTAGAGGTTGAATTGTAAGATTGTTTTTGTTTTCATTTAAGTAGCTTTGAGAACACTATTCAATTATTTAAAAGGCCACATTGGGTTCTAAAATGTATCTATAACTTTTATTTTATCTGTGTTTAACTATACTTGTTCCAATGAATAAACCTTGTAATTTTAGTTTTACTATCAAGACAACGTAGTCACAGCTAAGGTCTACATTTAATATACTCTAAGATGTAGCCCGTCAATCAGACACAACAATAACTGAGAAATTTACGGACAAGAAACAAAGCAACTTTATATATCTGGAGAAATATTAACTATCATTATATCCATAAAACCACCACAGTGCACAAGAAGATGATAAAAGAAAACATGCTCCAAAAAATGAAGAAATAGAAAAGTCTACATTGTTTCAAAAAGCATTTGTTTAATTGTAAAATGTATATGATACAAACTAGCATTAAGATCTGGGAAGCTGAGTAAAATGGCATCAAGTTCACGTTTTCATACCTTACTGCTGGCAATATTTACTTTACACTCCTATGAGTTCTCTGAATATCATCCAAACACCAAAATGCTACAAGCAAAGTAGAAGTTTAAGTGAATTCATGATGACCAGCAGTTGGATGCAATCCTCAATTTTTAAAAAGCTGTCACAGTCACAAACTGTGGCATCAGAACAGCTGCTACATAACAACTCATCTGAAACATGACATACTAAGGACAGACTTTATTAACACATATAACAAAAAGCTTTTGCGTGATATGCACTGCTTACTTATGCCTGGCACAGTGAGTAATAAGGCTGCCTTCATGTCTTAATCATTTTGTCAGCATGCAGGTATCTTCAGATCAGATTTAGGGATTACTTTACATAATGCCACAGTGCCATTCCAGCAATACATAGGGTGAAGGGAACTAAAAGCAGAAGTTCCTAATTCCATCTTCGTGGCACCTCTCCCAAACCTTTCTGGACAATATTTCCTTATACAGGATTTCATATCTAACTCACATTGAAATTTTGTGCACAAATTTTCTATTTCCTGAATATTTCTTTACCTTTACCCCATAGCCTGAGTTTCACCTCCCTCAATCACATTCATCCATTACTTTTCTTTCTTCCCAATCATAAACGACTTCAGACCTCACAATAGCCTTACCTCAACCTCTTAGCTTTTTGAGGTCATATGTTTTTATCCCTAAGGTACAATATACCCTTTTCTAGAAGGAACAATGTTTTAGAATAGAGACAGTGTTATAAGGATTACTTGTCAAAGATCACATATCAAAGGATCTGTTCAAATAAGGAAAGTCTCATTTAAAAAAAAAAAAAAAGCTTCCCCAGCTTCATCCTGGTGTTATTAAAAGGAAAGACAATGGGAGGGAAAAACTGGGAGAGCAAGGGAAGGGGAGATATTGCTCATAAAGAAATATACTCTTTACCTGACTTATGTAACTGTAACCCCTCTGTGCATCACCTTTACAATAGCAATTGAAAACGAATAAAAAGAGCAGAAATTCTTAAACACCCCCCAAAAAAGAATGAAAACTTTGAACAAAAAGAGAGCCCAGGAACAAACAATAATACATCATTCTAAGAATTATTCTCTAGTTAATATTTGTAACAACAAATTTCAGATTTTAAAGGTAAATGTGTCTATTTACCTTTCTTTTATTGGCAAGTTCACTTGAAAAGTAAGTAGGTTTAAATAACTATAATAAACAGGATGACTTTAGCATTCCTATGATAATAGCAATTGTTGTTTTTAACCCTCATTGTTTTGGGGACACTAAGGAACAAAAAGGACAGCCACTTTATTGTTCATTAGCATATTAGTACTGAATATTGGAATGTACATTTGCATCAGTATTATCACTTATACAAAACAGTTTTTTTTTATCTACATACTTTTCTTTCACTTGACCTCAAAACAGGTGGGGGTTTTTTCTCAACCAAGAAATTACTGGTAGTGAATCCTATTTTTTCAATTTCTTTCCCTGAAATTAAAGTTTTAAGTAAAAAAGCAAAATTGTAGCATTTGGAGTTTGAGGATTACCTGTAGCTTTGAAAAATTCTTTAGAATAGTTTTATTACACACTTCAGAAATGGTGCTCTATATTTTATAGTGTGACTTTCGTGGAAAAAAAACAACCCATACTATTACCAATAATATAAGATAGGGAATAACATTTCTCTGGTTGTCTTTTGAGATCTTCACAATATAATAAATTAGATCTTGAAAACATAATTTCAGTTGAGACAGAAGTTTCAAAAGCTTAAAGCTATACAAATTTAATGTAAAGAAGTCAAAGTATCAAAATAGACATAAAGCTGTTCATTTTATGTAGGCTTACACTTTTACTTTTTATGTATTAGTACTATTATTTGTACAGTTATTGGTGTAAGATAAAAACCTTAGAAACAAGTTTATTTCAATCTCAATGTGTCAGAGTTCTCTCTCTTGTACCTTTCATAATGAAAATTGCTTAGGTCTTGCCTTCCACAGTCTTATATCCCCTTCTAGCATTTCTTCTACTAACATTCCACATATCCTCCCTTGTCTGTACAAGAATCAATGTGTCATTTTCAGAAGATGAAACACTTATATGACAATTCTAACAGACATCTGCACCTGTCACTTTTCCTGCAGCAATATCCTACAAGCTGAACACAAATAATTGCTTGTCACTCCAGGTAAGTCATTGGCCTTGTACAACTATGTTTGATACAAGAAAAAAAAACTGAATTCAGCTTGAGGATTGCTTTATAGGAGAGACAAAAGGATATTTCACTCAGATCCAATGAACTTCGTCAGAAATGAGCCCTTCCAAACATTATTATGATTAGGTTATGAAAATAATTGGAACTGGTAAATTAGAAAAAAAAACACAGGTGAATGAAAAATACACATTCCAGAGGGAGGAGCTGGGTGCTCAAAACATATAACTGCATGCCAACAGAAAGAGAACTGGGACGAGGAAAAAAGGGAAGAAATAGGGTTCAAGAGTTCCCTTCTCCACTAGCCCGGAATAGTTTTCTGTTACCTGGGAATGGTCGCTGAAAACCAAATTTTGATAGGAGGAGGCAGTTTTGAGTGGGGAGAGCACTTCCCTAGAGCCGACGGGGTCCAAGGCCTGCACCACTTTGTTCATGGGCCCGCTGTAGGTCCTCACTCGTTCATACACTACATTTTTTTCTGGAGGTTGCTGGGTTTGGTTTGTCTGATGGTAACAGTGGTAATGGTGGGGCTGACACTGCAGCACCTCTGGGGGCTGCTGAGTCCCACAGCTGCTGCTGGTGGTCTCATTCCAATAGCTTGAGCTCATCATCTTCTCAGTGGTCAGAAAGGGATTCCCCGGATGCTTTCCCTAAGGAATAAACAGAGAAAGACAATTTTTTTTAAAAGTATGAACAAGCAGACACTTGTGTAGAAGCCATTTATCAACCACCTCTACTCATTGTGGTGCCAGGGAAAGATGAATTACCTGAGCAGCAGCAGAAGCAGGTCTGGCAGCTGCACAACAGGCAGCAAAGTATTTGAGCTCAAATGAAAAGTGGAGCCACCCTGAGAGATTGCTCCAGGAAATAGCTCTGACACGCCTCTGAGGGGCGGATTCACCTGGCAGCTTTGCATACCCGGGAGAGGCTGGGCCTGGGCGCAGAGATAGCTCTTAAGTCCTTCTGGTAGGTAAAGGCCTCTAGAAAGAGACGAAATGCAGAATTTCAGAGTAGGAGCTCAGGGAAAGTTGAAGACAACAGACATGTCAATGCTAAAACGTACTAGAGAAAAAGGCACAATGACACATGAAAGTGGTTTTTCCCATGATTCATAAGCTTAGCAAAACTGTTTGCACACCCTGAATGCTATCATTTCAGAATCTCAAACCCAAATAAGGGGTATTAGCCTATGGGCATGCTAATTTTCTCAGATAAATTTACATTCTTTGCAGAATGCAGGGATAATCATAGATGAAGGACATTGCTATTGGGTCTCTTAGAGACTCTAATTTTGTAAGCCTGTTTATCCTGCTACAGTCCTACTCTGACAGAGATTTGTCCAAATGATTGACATACTGTCTAGGAAGAAGGACCAAGTAGGATGGGAATGTTCAAGGAAATCTAACTTGTCCACAAATGCTTTGCATTTTCTCATGTATATTCACTGTATTTACATTCTTACAAAGGAATTTACCCTGACATTATTTCTGCCCTAGAAAATACTTAGATTGAATTCATCTTAAATATGAGTTATTAACAAGAGCTAGAAGTCCTAAGACTGCCTTACCTGACAAAATGTAAATATATTCAGTACTTATTTGGAATTCTAACCAAAAATATCTATTTACCCACCAGATTTTGCCTTGCAAACTCCAAGACACTGACTGAAGGTGCCTTCATAATAGGGCTATGATACCTAATGTGCATATGTATTCCAGGAATACATGCTACCACTACTGTAGAGAAGCCCTTTAGCTGACTAGCTGGTTTTTTTTTATTTGCTAAAAGCAAAAGGTTAATGATTTACTTGTCACTTACTATGTTCTAGGTATTGTTCAACAAGCTTTATAACTGGGCCCTGGTGCCTCATGCCTATCCTTCCAACTGTGATGGGAGGTGAGGTTGGTATGGCTGTAATTTCAGATCAGACTAGACAAAAAGTTTGGAAGACTTCAGCTTAACCAGTAGCGGGGCTTAGTGTCATATATTGTTGTAAGGTAAATCATCCCAGAAGCCACATTTTAAAATATAGAATATTGGAGTCTTTATTATACATTTAACAGGCTGCAAACCACCAGTTGTCACAAAGGCCTGCAGCATGCAAATACACATAACACAGCCAGGAAACATGCTAAAGATGCAAGAAAGAACAAAAACAATACCAACAAGCCAATTTAGTTCCAATGGAGAGTTGAATTGGGAACCCATGATGACTAGAGATGAGCCAGAAGACAGGACACAGGACACGATCACAGAGGCACATGTGGCATGGAGTCCGGTGGCTAGGCTGGTCTGGGCCTAAGTAGGTCAACACAAGGGGCAGATCTTCAGGAAATTCCCAGTCCCAGGCACTGGACTGACAGTTTCAGTAACCTATCAGCCAAGTGCCTGCCCCTGCCTCCAGGGTTCTGAGCACACGGATTACCTGGGAGGCAGGTGATGGGGGGGTGGGGGTGTTCCTTCCCCCAGCATGAAGACAAAATGCCAGACCCCACCAACCACCATGTGGCCAATATGGAGCTGGCCAGACCTGACCTCCTTACTTCAATATGTCAGTCATTCTAGCTAAGTGAGAGCCTGAGATCCACAGGATCAGGGTTTTAAGCCAGCCCAGTCCAAAATGTTTAAGAACACACACACACACACACACACACACACACACACACTCTTCAAGTCTACAGCAAAAGTTGAGCATAGTGGCATTTATCAGGCAGTCTAACTACAGAAAGAATCATAAAAAAAAAAAAAGATCATGGTTCAGGCTAGATCAGGCAGAAATCAAGAGCCTGTCTCAAAAATAATCAGAGCTAATAGGACATGGCTCAAGCAGAAGCGTATCTGCCTAGCAAGTACCAAGTCCTGGGTTGAAATCCCAGTGCCACCAATAAGAAAAAAAGGTATCACACCTTTTTCTGGGGGAAAAAGTGCTGCATTATGTATCAAAACCCTTTTCTGAAAGCACTCTCATGCCTTGGAGTTTGATGGTGCTGGAGTATCTTGCTTTGGCTTAATTGTCTCACTTTCAGAAATACTTTATACGGATTTATAGGTGTAAAACTTAGGTAGAGATAAGGAGGGATTGAAAATTTCCCAAAGTTAAATAACTATTAAATGATAGTTCTAGCATTTGACCTGAAGGAGATTCACTTTAGTTTTTACATTCTTTGTACTACATTATACTGCTAAGTGAACTTTAAATTTTACCATCTAATCAATGTTCCAGTTGGAGAGATTTAAAATATAATTGAGAAACATGAGCTTATTAGTGACTTTATTTTTTATTGTATGTGCCAGTGTCAGTACCAGGGCTTGAACTCAAAGCCTTGTACTCTTGTTGGGATGCATGGCTGGTGGTCTACCCCCTGAGCCACAACTCCACCCCAGAATTTTGCTAGCTAATAGGAGATGGAGTGTAGTGGATTTTTCTTCCTGGGTTGGCTTCAAACTATGATCCTTTAGATCTCAGCCTCTTGGATTGCTATGATGACAAATGTGAGCCACTGGCAGCTGACTATAAGTGATTTTAAAAGCAATCTTTGAATTGTTATGCGGGAGTGATATGCAGAAAGCTAAAATTAAAACGTTCTTTAAGATGATTTATTATGTGTTTATATTTAAGTTTGTGAGTTTGCAGACCTTTCAAATCTAATCCTTGTTTATGCTGATGTTATACTACAAGAATCAATAAAAATTTAATTAGAACCACATACCTTTCCAACAACCTGGTTAAAAAAATCAGATCAAATAACTCACTAATATTAACAGTATCATTTTGAGTAAGCTGCGTAAATAGGGAATTTGTATAAAGTAAGATCACCTAGTCAGCTCTCAGTACTGAAATCTGAATATTTAACACACACACACATGTACATACTGCTGTCAGCCAATAAATGACTAAGTACATAAAGTAAGATAGTAGGATGAAAAATAAAAATTACTTCATCCAAAATTGGTAACCATATCGCTCCTCCACACATCTTGCGTACATGATACTTTGAGATAGATGACTTTGATACAGTAGGGTTACAATTAATATGTGAAATTGATACCCTCACCCCATCCCTGAGTGTCTTCCATCACTGTTCTTCTTCCCTAACTATAAAACAGATGTTGAAACTCAGGAATAAAGAAGTGAGATTAAACATTATCTGAAAGACAATCCACAGTTAACTACAAAGCAGATTTTGACTCCTTGGTTCACTTCAGAGAGGTTTATCAATCATTCCCAAGGAAGTGTCTATATTTTTTCTCTGAGAATTCATGTGTGTATTCATGATCGACATCTTTTTGCTTTATTTCTACTTTGTAAACATGGTGTTAATATTTATAAATGTATTTGTCTGTATAATAATAGTACTTGTCTGACTTTTGTATTCTGCAAAGCTCATGATAATGCTATTATTCTAACATTGGTGGATGAGGTAATAAGACTTACTTACTTATTCTTAGCTCTAGACTGGTTCAGAAAAATCTTCAATTATGTTCCTAACAGTCTTTTGCTTTACTTAGTAATATTGACATTTTCAGTACTGAAAAGCATATTTATGATGATGGATTTGTGGGATAAAGCAGATATTCTCTTAGAAATTAAGACAGTTTTAACAGAAGTAATAACATCTTTATTGCTTCTGATTATAAAAATCATTAATTCTTTAACATTCCAAATAAGTAAATACAGGAATAAAATATAATATGAAACACCCAGGCTACTGGTAACAGTAAGGGGTGGAGAACGTAAAGATCAGGAATGTATGTGGAAAACATTTATGATAATAAAAAAGTTATTTGCATTTTGACTCAGCTGTCTTGAAGGCCACCTGAAAAAGTCCTAGTGACAATACTGGAAAAGCAAACTCAGAAAGTCAGCAGACATATCTGTGGTTCACACCTGTAATCCTAGCTACTCAGGAGGCTGACATTTGAAGATTGGTTTTGAAGCCAGCTTAAGTAGAAAAGTCTGGGGGACTCCATCTCCAATTAACCAGCAAGATGCTTAGCTGGAGGCAAAACTCAAGCAGTAGAATAGCACCCATGAGAAGAAAAGCTGGACAAGAGCAAGAGTCCTTTAGTTCAAGTCCCAATATTGGCGTGCACACATGTACATGCGCATGCACACACACTACACACACACACACAACTTAAGTTTCTCCTTACTCATAACACAAAACACTTATGTGACCATTTTCTCCCTCTATCTAGCAAGTAATCACTTCTATACTAGAAACCAGCTGAGAGACCCATGAATTTAACTTAGTTATGACAGTCTCTACTCTGCCTCCTACAGCCTGGGTGTTCAATCCCACAAGATTGTACTCCACTTCAAATGCCAATTGACCAACAAGCTACAAAATCAGATTGCCTCAACTTCCTTTTTAGATTCAATAAATTGCTCCAGCACCTCACTGAACTCAGGGAAACTCTAATCTGTACTGGTTTATCATAAAAACAATTGTTACAGAGAATGCAAATAGGTACCAGATGGAGGAAATACATGTGGAAAGCGGTATGGAGACCCCATGTCCTCACTCCTGGCAAACATCTCTCCAAGATGCCCACATGTAAAACTGCCTAGCAACTCCCTGTTCCTGTTTTTTGGGGGATTTCTAGGGAAGATTACTAA